CCCTCCTTTCTGGGTTTTAGAATTTGGACCTTCGGCACTGAGATGAGCTCAGAGGGAGACTGAAAGAAACTGGTTATCTCACGTTCATCTTGCTTCTGCCCCCAGAAAAGGCTCTGTTTTCATTACTCAACAAGTCCTTACTCTGTAACGCAATGATGACATCTTTTGATTATTTATTTATTTATTTATTTAAAGACAGGATCTAACTCTGTTGCCTAGACTGGAGTGCGGTGGTGTCATCTCAGCTCACTGTAACCTCTGCCTCCCAAGATCAAGCAATTTTCCTGCCTCAGCCTTCCAAGTAGCTGAGACTACTGGCATGAGCCGCCATGCCTGGGTAATTTTTGCATTTGTTGGTAGAGATGGAGTTTCACCATGTTGGCCATGCTGGTCTCAAACTCCTGAACTCAAGTGATCCACCCACCTTGGCCTCCCAAATTGCTGGGATTACAGGCATGAGCCACCACGCCTGGCAGACATATTTTTAAAATAAGATACAATTTACATCAAATGCACAGATTTTAAGGATGCAGGTTGGTAAGTTTGGGTAAATGTTTAACCATGACCCCAGTCAGAATAGGAAACATTTCTCTCATTCCTTGTGCCGCTGTCCACCAGAATTGATTCCTGATATTACCTGCAGACTGCTGTAGCCTCACAGTATACTGTGTTCAGCTCATTATGTTGCATTAAGCAAGTCTCTCTCCTACCCTTCATATTTTAACCAAACCTTAATTATTTATCAAAATATTTAAGGAGGCCAGACTTGATGGCTCACGCCTGTAATCCCAGCACTTTGGGAGGCGGAGGTGGGTGGATCACAAGGTCAAGAGATCAAGATCATCCTGGCCAACATGGTGAAACACCCATCTCTACTAAAAATACAAAAATCAGCTGGTTGTGGTGGTGCTATTTGGAAGGCTGAGGCAGGAGAATGGCTTGAAGCTGGGAGGTGGAGGTTGCAGTGAGCCAAGATTGAGCCACTGCACTCCAGCCTGGTGACAGAGCGAGACTTCATTTACAAAAAAAAAGAGAAAGATTTAAGCATATTAAGGAACACTTCATAAAATAACAGCAGGCAAAATGAAAAGAAATAAAGAAAAAGAAGAATAAAAAGAAAAATACCACTCTTCCGATGTGAACTCTTTTTGTGTTCATGCTTTTAAAAATTCACCTGCTGTTTTACTACCTCTCCAAAACAATGCCCTCTGGGCCCCAGAAGTAAATTTTGCACTTTGATGGAATGATATATTTTAAAATCTGAGTTGGGGCATCCCTTAGCCAACCCCCTCAGTATTATAATCAGGCTGTGCTGCTCCAAGGTGGAAAACTCAGTCCACAACCTTCCCTGCCTGACTCCTTTGATTTTATATTGTTCATTGGAGAAACAAAGGAAGAAGATAATTGGGTTCTTCGGAATTTGTAGGTAATTAGATAACTCTGTTGACGGTGGAACCAGCACTAGAGAGAGCTCCATATCTGGTCAGGGTCTGACTGTGACCAGGAAGTTCTTGGTGTCTTCCTTGCTCAACCTTAGAGCCCACGAACACTGACATCCCCAACCTCAGCTCACTGCAACCTCTACCTCCCGGGTTCGAGCAATTCTCACGCCTCAGCCTCCCAAGCAGCTGGGACTACAGGCATGCGCCACTACACTCAGCTAATTTTTGAATTTTTTTTTTTTTTTTTTTTTTTTTTTTTTTTTTTTGAGACAGAGTCTTGCTCTGTCACCCAGGCTGGAGTGCAGTGGCATGATCTCGGCTCACTGCAACCTCTGCCTCCCAGGTTCAAGCAGTTCTTCTGCCTCAGCTGGGATTACAGGCGTGCACCACCACACACAGCTAATTTTTATATTTTCAGTAGAGACAGGGTTTCACCATGTTGGCCAGGATGGTCTTGATCTCTTGACCTTGTTATCCACTCACCTCAGCCTCCCAAAGAGCTGAGATTACAGGCATGAGCCACCACGCTCAGCCTAATTTTTGAATTTTCAGTAGAGACGGAGTTTTTCTATGTTGGCCAGGCTGGTCTCGAACTCCTGACCTCTTTGCTAAGCAGTAAGCCATGTGCTTTGCAAATGTCACATTACATTATGTCACTGTTATTTTCATTTAAAAGGTGAAGAAACTGATACTTCCTAAGGACAGGTGAGTTGCCCAACACTACACAGCTGGACCTGGCTGAGCAGGATCTGAGCAGAGGTTCGGGAGTTCGGCGTGCTGGACACAAAGGTCTCTGTCGCCCAGCTCCGAAGTATGTTCCTGGCATCTGCCAATGCCAGCAGGACACCAGAACTGTAGGTGATGCTTCACGTGCCCTCCAGCTGTGCCACTTGCACGTCCCTGGCAGAATGACTCACTCCCCGACTTGTGTTGTGTTCTGCAGTGAATCATATTAGCTTAGCTCACAGGTGTGTGCAGGGCAACTGTGCAGAAAATGGCTCAAAAACTACCACTCTGCTTCTGCCTACTAACGGGGAATAGCAGACTGGGTCTCCCGAGTGCCCCCTTCCTGATGTGCATGGTAGAGGCATGAAGAGGGGTTTGGCGGTGTCTGTGCCTTGACTCACGGAGATGCATAAACCTTTGCTGTCTTCTCTTTCCCTGTCTTCGTTTGCCTTCCATATACTCTCTGCCCTTTGATTCTAAAAGCAAATCACGGGTGGAGAGGTCAGCCGAAGGACCTGGCTTGCCCACCAGTGTGGACTCGGAGAGAGGGTCCCGGAAACCAAGACGCTATTTTTCTCCTGGTGAAAGTAGAAAAACTTCCGAGAGATTTAGAACCCAACTTGTAACTTCAGCAGAACGAAAGGAATCGGATAGGTAGGCATGCGTCTGTGCCATTTCCTAGTCCAGGAACGTGACAGCGACACAGGAGTGTCACACACTGACGGCCTTTGTGCTGTTTATACAGGATGCTGGCCATTCCATGATTCTTCCATCTAATCTGTAAGCGTTAGGTATTTGGCTTATGTTAAAGACTTTTTAAAGAATGTTGGCCTTTACAGTGGTATTATGATACATTCACAATTTTACATTGCATTTAGGTGATAAGAAGTGAGAAATATTATTTTTCTCCACTTATTATTTTTAATGCTTTTTACCCCCTTGTTAAATTAGAGTCCAGATTGCATATTCACCCGATTTTACAGTGAAAGTAACTGAGAAATTTTGTATTCGTTTTATAAATGTCCGTCTACTTGTTGTATTTGCTCTGTTGTATAGAACTGAGAAGGTTTGTGTAAACATTGTCCTCAGTGATGTGTAGTAAGCTGCACGTGTGCCTGGTCTCCCCACAAGGCGTGTCCTTGGCTGGGATCGTGTGCACACACGCTCCACAGTGTCACTTCACAACTGTGTGTGTTTTCACAACTAGAATTGCTACCAGGAGGTTATTTCTTCAAAGAATTTAATTGCATTTTTAGTTTGACTTTTAATATGATGTTTTATTTCAATCTTCTGCTCCCACCTGCTAATTTATGATGATTATTTGCTAATGTCTTTCCCAGGTGCACTTCACAGTCAGAAACGCCAACTATTGACAGCAAGTACCTTTTCCCCTTTTCTTCCCCTTCTTTATTATCTCATCTAGACGGGATTTAGCCATACAATTTATGGCTTTTTGAGAGAATAAGATGATAGAGCATATCAATGTCTCTCTTTGCTGCAGGTTTCCTTTCTGTGAATAAATAAAACCTAGTTGCAATTTGCAGATGAGCTTTCCCTTCGTACTGAGAACAGTTTCTCAGAAGGAAAGCAAACAGTTTTGAGAACGAGAAGAACTTGTTCTTTGGTTTGAATTAGTTGTTTTTCTATTGGTCACTGCAGTGTTGCTGCTGCTGCTACTATTTAAAAATAAAAGAAATCCCCTCCATAAATATATTCATGAAATCTCGACCAGACAAACGTTAGCGTAGCAGTCCCTGGACAGAGTTTGCTTTGGTCTGGCTTGGTTTGAATTGCAAGGGAAATTAGTACCTTTTCACTGAGCAGAAAGAATGGGCTCCCTGCAAGGGGCAGCTACCACCAATTATTCTTTTAGTGCACCTGTTCTTGTATTCAGAGATTTCCAAGTCAGCTCTGGAAGGCTTTTTGGAGACTGAACTTACCTTTTCTAATAATGTCCAGTTTTTAATTTGTGGCTTTTTATAGATGAAGAAAAAGTGGATGAATGAGACAAGCTGAGCATCGCGACCAAGAGGCTGCTTTTCAGGGTTAGCCAAGCTGACGTGCTTGAATAGAGATCATGACCCCTAGGTGCAGTAATCCAGCTACTTGGGATGCCAAGGCAGGAGGATTGCTTTAGGCCAGGAGTTCAAGACCAGCCTAGGCAACATAGTGAGACTGCATCTCAAAAAAAAAAAAAAAAAAAACAAAAAACTGTAAGCCTTAGTAGGGGAGACTCTCACGGCCCTAGCCTACTTCATGCACCTCTGGGTATGGAGGCCTTCCTGGCTCTGGCCCACCTGTTGTTCTTTTCTTAGTCCTTGGGTGGTTGTGGCCACCTCATGGACACAGCATGAGTGTATATTTCTGACAATGATACGAGGCTCTTATTTCTAAGCCTCCTATAGGTCCTGTAGAAGAACAAGTAAAGACTTTTTACGGCCCCCATTTCCCTTCCTTGAATTTATTTTCTTAATTTTTTTAGAGACAGGTCTTGCTCTGATGCCCAGGTTAGAGTACAATGGCATGATCATGGCTCACTGCAGCCTCAACCTTCTCTGCCTAAGTGATCCTCCCACCTCAGCCTCCTGGGACTGCAGGCCACACCACTATGCCCAGCTAATTTATGCACTTTTTGTAGAGATGGGCTTTTACCATGGTGTCCAGGCTGGTCTGAAATTCCTGGGCTCAAGTGATCCTCCTGCCTCAGCCTCCCACAGTGCTGGGACTACAGGTGTTAGCCACTGTGCCTGGGCTGGCTTTTATTTGATTTTATTTTTTTAAATTGTTTTTGTGTTTGCATTGGCCACACAGACACCCTTCCTGAAAATAAAAATGAAGTTCATCCCATTACGTTACGTGATTGACATTCCAAAAGTCCTCTACGCCGGTGACCCATTCTGTGGACCTGTTGTTAGACCAGCTGCCTGCAGTTCCTTACCAAGGTATTCCTCAGTTTCTGGATGCATTTGTAGCCAAGTATATCTTTGCACTCATTAGGAACTCTTTGCAAATCAGTTTTTTTTAAAAGTAAATATTTGAATGGCTGGTGTAAAATAAGAAGCAGCTACCCATGGGAGCAAAACAGTAAATATAAGAAAAATTATCTCCTTTTTAGGCTCAATAAATCTGTTTTGATGTGCCTGTAGATTGTGTAAGGACACTGATGCTTTAAAAATTAGATTGAAGGCTGGGCCCAGTGGCTCACATCTATAATCCCAGCACTTTGGGAGGCTGAGGCAGACAGATCACTGGAGGTCAGAAGTTTGAGACCAGCCTGGCCAACATGGTGAAGCCCTGTCTCTACTAAAAATACAAAAATTAGCCAGGTGTGCTGGCACATGTTTGTAATCCCAGCTACTGGGGAGGCTGAGGCAGGAGAATCCTTCAACCGAGGAGGTGGAGGTGGCAGTGAGCTGAGACGGCGCCACTGCACTCCAGCCAGGTTGAAGAAGTGAGACTCCGTCTGGACAACGAAAAGAAGGATTGAAAACCATATTCTAAAACAGAGGCATAATCTACTGATTTGCATGAAACAAGACAGCGTCAGTTATAATAAAGGGTTTGGTGTGTGAGCACAGCACATTTGCATGTTAAAGTATTGTTTTGGAGACTAGAACCGTTCTGGAGTTAATAGTTAAAGCTCACTTCCTGTGTCTCGCACCAATGGCCACGAAGCATTGTGCTGTGTGGGGACCCTCTGGGAAGTGTGGTTTTCTCAGAGCGCAGCGCGCTGCAGATTTGCATAAATCCCGGCGGATCGGGTCACCCGCCGCGCGCCCGCGGATCGAACTCGAGAGCTGAGCTGCTTGCGGCGAATCGCTGAAGAACGTTCCCCGCAGGAGTTCGGTGCTCACGTCGCTCTTTTCCTTCCCAGCGGCAGAGTTCGGGGAGCCGGCTTCCGAGCAGACGGGGGCAGCTGCGGGGACAACTGTGGCCCAGCCCGCGGCCCCCGCGTCCTGGAAGCCCCAGGATTCTTCGGAGCAGCCACAGGAGAGGCTCTGCAAGAATCCGTGTGCCATGTTCGCTGCCGGAGAGATCAAGACGCCGACGGGGGAGGGCCTTGCCGACTCACCCAGCAAAACCATGTCTATTAAAGAAAGGTAATGAGACTCGGGGAGCGGAAAGTGAATCCCTCGGGAGGAGCTCACAGCATCTGGGTGGCGGGCAAAGGGAAGAAATCACACGCTCAGATTCTAATGGCCTGGGCTCTTGTCCCGGAGTAATTCCGAGAAGCCGGGGTGTTTGTAAGTGACCTGCCTTTGCTCCTGAGCCTGGTTTGGTAATGACGACAGGGCGGGTTCCAGACTAAGATGAGAAAACAAACAGAAACAGATTTCTGCTTTATTTGTATGTTTCCGTTGTCCCAATGTCTTTTATAATATTAAATTATTGGCTTATCTAGTGACAGGAGCTGAGATCTTGGCTCTTTCCCTTTTAGATACAGAGTTCATACGGAATGCACAAACCGCTTGTAACTTTGGGTAAAATACGTCTAGAGGGAATGATGATAAACTGACCTACAGGGCATACATCTTTGGGCTTAGAATCCGACTTTTGTTTCCTTTACAGAAAATAAAATGGATGACTTTTCTGAACTGCATTTAGAAATTTTATGTCAGGTAATACCTTGAAAGATTCTGTTTGAGCATCAAAGAACACAGTAGCCTCATTTCTTTCAAAGAATGATGTAGGGTGCACAGGAATATATTTAAATAAGACAGATACAGAGAACTGGAAGTAAATTACCTTTGGAATATATTTTCTTGTTAACCTCTAACCACAGTTGAATTAAGCAGGAAAGGATACAATAGTGGTAATAAATGCCGGGTTTGACGGCGGAGTGTGGTGACTAAATGGAAATGTACTGTACTCAGGTGATGGGCAGCCTGATACCCTGACTGGCTCTCTGTGCATTACGTATGTGTAACAGAATTTCTCATGCACCATATAAATTTGTACAAAAAAGAGAAAGTCTTCAATAGGAAAAAAAATCATGGAATAGTGATAGGAAAACTGGGTGAAAAACTTTCTGAAAGTTTTAATCCTATAAAATTCTCATTCTTAAACTGAGACATGGGAAGCTGCAGCTTCTTAGCTTGGGCTTTGTGGACATCTAAGGCCTTCAAGGATGGCTGGCAAGCGTCTGTGACCGGCGTGGAAGTGTATTGAGAATTGGATGTGTGAGAGCTCACCTGCTGGCCGGCAGAGGCCACAACTTACCGTGGTCGCCAGGAGATCCCTTAGCCCGGTCTGTTCAGAATCATGGTAGAAAGGAACGCTTCATTGATATTCAGCTATTCAGTTTGTTAAAATAGGTTTAAGAAAGGACGAGGGGGCCGGGTGCGGTGGCTCACGCCTGTAATCTCAGCATTTTGGGAAGCCAAGGCGGGCGGATCACGAGGTCAGGAGTTCAAGACCAGCCTGGCCAACATGGTGAAACCCCGTCTCTACTGAAAAACACAAAAATTAGCTGGGCATCGTGGCAGGTGTCTGTAGTCCCAGCTACTTGAGAGGCTGAGGAAGGAGAATTGCTTGAAACCGGAAGGCAAAAGTTGTAGTGAGCTGAGATCGTGCCATTAAGAAAAAAAAAAAAAAAAAAAAAAGGATAAGGGACACTTTATTTAGCAGCTGTTTGTAATAAATTACACTAACACAAAATGTATTGCCAGCAATCTTTTTCCCCTTACCTTGACAGCACTTTTATTTGTACTTTGCTGGAAATAACTAAACTACATCGTTTATTTTTATTTATTTATTTTTTGAGGTGGAGTTTCGCTCTTGTTGCCCAGGCTGGAGTATAAAGGCACGATGTTGGCTCACTGCAACCTCCGCCTCCCAGGTTCAAGCAATTCTCCTGCCTCACCGTCCCAAGTAGCTGGGATTAGAGGCACATGCTGCCATACCCAGCTAGTTTTTGTATTTTTGGTTGAGACAGAGTTTGGTCAATACAGTTAGCCAAAACAGCCTCGTGTTTGTGAAAAAGAACCTCTCAGGAACCCAGTGTTCCAGCAGCTTCCTATCAAGTCACATATCATTGAACTAAAGTATGTAGTTTCTGTCTAAAGAAGACGGATAAGAAAGATAATATTCATTTATAGGAAAAGAGCAGGGCTTAGAATGCCTGAGGAGAAACAGTCGCAAACATCAAATTTTACCTCTAATTGAAAGGGGTGATACTAAGAGATGGTGGGAGCTTCACGGTTTCTGTTTTAAGCCCACGTCTTCATTATTTGTAACACAGCTTTAGTCCTTTAATGTTATTTCACCGAGTGACCAGAAGGCGTCGCTAGAAGACATTTTTCTCTGGGGACGGTTCTCTTGCTCTCAGCCCCCAAAACGGGAAAAACAGACATTCCGTGGCTGGGATGATGGGGCATCTTTTATCTAGCAAGTCAGACTTCGGCTCTGTGTTTCAATCAGCTGTAAAATCTTCGGGGCCATCTTAGAGAAGGGACTTTATTATTTTCCCAGACATGCTGTCTTCAAAATACATGAAATTCGAAAAGTTAAAATGAGGTGGCTGTGGTCACGTCTTGGCCAAAGGCGTCTCACTGACTGAGATTATGGCTCTCTCACGAGGAAGAGCTTGGTGCTGAACTCTCTGTGGCTGGCATGTTTCCCTCCTAGATTGGCACTGTTGAAGAAGAGCGGGGAGGAAGACTGGAGAAACAGACTCAGCAGGAGGCAGGAGGGCGGGAAGGCGCTGGCCAGCAGCCTGCACACCCAGGAAGCGGGGCGGTCCCTCATCAAGAAGGTAACGTTGCCCATGTTAGGGAAGCATCTGGACTAACGTCACTCCTGGAAGTGCATCAGAGAGACACGCATGTGCCACCCAATTCCTGCTCTGTGAAGCATTTGTGCGTTTTTGCACTTAGGATACACACTGAGGGTCTGTCACAGAGCACCTGAAACTGGGCAGGGGGCTGAGCCTTGAGATGCTTTAGAACTGGGGTCAGTGCCACATACACACGGTGTCAGCAAGCAAGTGCCTGAAGGTTAAAGTGTGTACTTTTTCTTCAGTTTAAACCCCTTCTTAAATGAAGTCTGGCTTTAGAACGTTATTAAAGCCTTTGTAATGAAAAAAATGGAATTCACCACTAATATCTTCAAGTTGCATGTAAAATGTGGACTTGGGTTTCCTATGCAGAGATTTTTAATCCTAAGTATAAAAAGTACGGACATAATTGTGGTTCATGGGTATTTAGTTCATCATTTTAAGCGTGTTTCACGAGTAGCTATGCCTTTTATTGAGAATGTACAGTGCTGTATGTTATAAATTGAAACAAGATTAAGTAATGCGTGGTGATCCATGCGAGCAAGCATCTCGTGTGCGTAAGTATTGATGAGCTGTTAAACTACAGATGCGATGATGGCCGGCTTTTGACAGGCGGTGCGCACTGTCCTAACTGACGGCGCTTACTTGTTGGCTGGCCCTACAGTTGCGAATGCCCCTCCTGGCTGGAGGCGAAATGGTGCAGCACTGACGTGCTCCCTGGCCACTTTCTAGGCCCAGAAGTCTTCAAGTAGGAAAGAAAAACAGTGCTTTCAACCAGCTGATCCCCAGGCCCCCGTTAGCTCGAAAATAAGTTAAGCATCGGTGGAAGGACGAGATGATGAGCGTGACTTTCACGCATTAAGAAACTGATATACAAATGCGGTGTGCTCATAAAGTGTGAGTCAGGAGTTCTGGCGCTATTGCATCTGATACTTCTGTGTCTTCATAGGTTACATTGGAATGGCAATTTGAATTTTCTCCTTTGAGACATATATGATGTTAAAGATGATATAACTAAAGACATTTAACCTCAGCCATTTGTAAAGTTCTCAAATACAACTAGAAAGTATGTGCATATTTTTCACCCACCATGTGAAACTCACATTTCAAAAAGGAGATCCTGAAGTAAAAGAAAACTGCATCTGTGAAATAATGTATCCCCACCCCCCACAAACTTTATTTAAGAGTCTTGAAATCATTGCTTCAAAAACGACTTTAACACGTTCCCCATAAGCAAACCTGCCAACTACTATGTCCTGGCACTAAGCAACACCTGGCCCCTGGGCCATCATTTTGGAAGGTGCAGAGACTCCCCCGCCCGTCAAGAGCTGGGAGTCCCAGAGAGCCAGGTGGAAATTTAAATGAAGCCTAAAAGCACAAAGCAGGAGAGGTTCCTGGTAAATAGGAACAGACTATTCACCTATTCAGACTATTCAAATGGGTGCGCCACCCACTTAGAAGAACGGAGGGTCACCTTAGGTGTGAAAGCCAGAAGGCTTTGAGTGGAGGATGAGAGCTCAGCTGCCTGAGCACTGGCTAAGGCTTTTAGAAGGCAAGAGATGCCAGTTGTCCACAGCTGCCTCTGGGGTAGAAAACCCAGTGACCTGAAGACTGGGGCTTCCACCTGGGATGGGGCTGGAATGAAGTGCTGCCTCGGGACCCATGGAGGCTGCTGTTTCTGCAGCAACAGGGAACCTCCCACTCTTCCTCAGTGGCCTGGTTGCCTTGGCTGGAGACAATGAGCTCTTTGAAGTTAAAATAAGAAGGTCTATTTTAGGCCTCTGTAGCCCACACTGGACAATCTCAGGTTCTGCTGAGGTCAGGTGTTTCTCAGGCGGCCTCTGGCACCCCCTGGTTCGTTCCTTCCTGAGGACTGGCAGTGTTTTCAGTCACCCGCTGGCTGTGCTCAAATGTGGTCGGTGAGGCGCCTTCGACCTGGTCTGTCTTAAGGGAGTCCCCAAATAGCTGAGAGGCTGCCATGCCCACTGCTTGCAGGTGTCCGAGTGCAGCCTTGGAGAAGCACAGACAGTCATGACACGTGGGGCCTGAACATGGGCGCTTGCTGCAGGGATTAGCTCTTGCCTTGCTGATGGAGAGGGACCCAGGAGAGCAGGTGCTGGAACCTTCCATCTTCAGCACCAAGGGCAGAAAGCAGCCATGTATGGTCAGCTCGTCACGCCCTTCGCAGTTGCTGTATTCCTGTTGTGTGCTGAGAGCCTGCTGCCGTGAGTGTGCGTGTGTGGGAACGCGGAAGGGGCAGGAAAGAGAGGGGACTCCACGTTCCCGCCATTGCACCCACGAGACTACATGCAGGGTGGCAGTCAGCACTGTCCTATAAAAATAGAATGTGTGCCATTTTGAATGTAGGTGATTTTGAAATTTTCTCTGAGTCACATTAAAAAATATATTAAAGGATACCTTGAAAAATTTATAGCCGTTTTGTCTCTGTGGATGGATTGGTCCCAGAAGAAAATATATTTGAGGCACGTTAGTCAACATCTCATTTTGGGTCTTTTTCTTTTTTTTTTTTTTTAGTCGGAGTCTCACTCTGTTACCAAGCTGGAGTGCAGTGGTGCAATCTCAGCTCACTGCAACCCCCACCTCCTGGGTTCAAGCGATTCTCCTGTCTCAGCCTCCCGAGTAGCTGGGACTTCAGGAGCGCACCACCACGCCTGGCTAATTTTTGAATTTTTAGTAGAGACAGAGTTTCACCATGTCGGCCAGGATGATCTCCATCTCTTGACCTTGTGATCCACCCATGTCAGCCTCCCAAAGTGCTGGGATTACAGGCATGAGCCACCGCATCCAGCCTCATTTTTGGGTCACTTATTTTAAGATTTATACTGGGGCTGGGTGCTGTGGCTCGCTCCTGTAATCCCATACTGTGGGAAGCCAAGGTGAGAGGCTTGCTTGAGCCCAAGAGTTTGAGACTAGCCTGGGCAACATGGTGAAACCCGGGCTGAACCAAAAAATACAAATAGTTGCCAGGTGTGGTGGCACACACCTGTAATCTCAGCTGCTCAGGAGGCTGAAGTGGGAGGATGGCTTGAGCCGGGGAGGTCAGGGCTGCAGTAAGCCATGATCACACCAGTATGCTCCAGCCTGGGTAACAAAGCAAGACCAGGAAAGAAAGAGAGAAGGAGAAAAGGAAAGAAAGAGAGAAAGAAAGGAGGGAGAGAGGGAAGGAGGGGAGAAACAAGCCAGAGTAACTCATTCCACCAGAGAGAAAAATGAAATGAAGCAAAGTCTAATATTATTAAAGAACTGGTTCGCCAGGAGTCTCTGTTACAACTAACTTTTGGTATTTTCACCAAATAGTTACTTTCAATTCGAACCCCATTTCAGCTTATTCCGCATTAAGGCATACACAGTGACTCCCTGTCTGTTGTGAAGGTAGTCATCCAGCAAATCAGACCTTTTCCAAGAAGTGAAAACCCTTCCTAGACGTGTGCCTTAAAAGCCTGTGTGTGTTTCTCAGTTCCAGGTGGGAACTGGATATCCGACTGTGCTGTGAGGTCAGTGTCTCCAGCTCAGATCTATGACAGCCCCAGAGACAGTGCCTGAAATTTCAAGAAAAGTGAATCTGGCACATGCGTATTCTCAGTATCTGCTGTCATTGAAATTCCAGATCACAATCCAGGAGAATTTAGAGAATGAAGTCACTTTAGAAGTTGGGAGGGAGAGACAGGCTGAGGGAACACCCTCTAAACTCCAGATGGTGATTCTGCAGTGAGGGAATGAGGTGGCCTGAGGTTCAGTCACTGCCTGGTGTGCGCGCACGCATGCTGCCTTTGAACCTGGCACAAAGTCCTTCCCGGTGATTGCGACGCCCTGACGAGGCTCTTTCCTTCCAACGCCCTGCAATGTTTCCTGTTTGTTTCAACCTGTAGGAAGAAGGAGGAGGTGCGGATGATAACGCCATTTCTAACCTGCTTTGGGTAAGCCCGACTCTAACACAGGTGTCCTCTAGTGGTGGCGAGTCACACCTCGCATGGGTGATTCTCCTCCTGGGTGGCTCCTTCGGGCGCCCTCCCTGTGCTTGATCTCCAGACCAGACGCAGCCTTTGTCTGCAGTGGAGAGCTGAGCCCGTGCCCTTAAATTATTTTTTAAATCATGCAGTGAAAATACTTTAAAGAAGATGATATTTTCTGTTAAATGTTAAAACTGTCAGTGAAAGTCATGGTTGCCTCTCTGCAACTGACAATCTTCTATAAATTAACTCATTTAATTACTGCGCAAAGCTGACTCAGGTACAGTTACTTCGAGTGTGTGGATTTATTTTAGCATTAGCATTCAAGGGAGGACTCTCTTAAAAAAACTGAAATTGCAGCCAGTAAATTAACATTCTGTTAGAAAAATCATTGTTTTGTCTCTCCCTCCCCCACGTCCCTGCCCGGCCCCGCTCTCATAAATCTTCTCTTTTCACCTTTAATCCTCTTGCTCTGCTCTGTAGGAACCTGTACACGCTTCTACTTATTCTCCTGCTATTCCTGCTGCCCATAAACACCTGTGTTTTGTGTCGATTAATCAGGTGAGGAAAAGCCGCTCATCTTAAGCCTCGATGCAATTTCTGAGCAGCAGGGGAAGAACTTCTGTTTAATTTGGGGAAATAACTTACTTGCTGCATTTCACTGTGAGAGAGAGGAGTGTGTGTGTGTGTGTTGGTAAAACTGTGTGTGTCCATGAGAATGTGTATGCATCTATGAGTGTGTTTCTGATTGTGTATCTGTAAGAGCGTCTGTATGAGTGTGTATCTATGAGAGTGCATGTGTGTGTGTGTGTGTGTGTGTGTTTATGAGTGCATTTCTGGGTGTGTATCTGCGAGTGTGTGTGTGTGTGTGGGTATCTATAAGAGTGTGTGTGTGTGTGCATATGTGTGTGTTTAATTGGTTCTTCATATATTTAGGGTCAGTCACACACACACTGATCCTTGTGCAGATTTTCAGGTGGGCTTGGTGGTATTGATTCACCTCATAGTCATGAAACTGGTTTAAGAGGAGAGTGTCCCCCTCAGCCTCTACGCTTTCCATCCTGAGTCAGGAGCCCAGGAGATGTGCCAGTGTTCTTGGCTCCGGCTCAGTCAGGCTGTTGTCCTGCTCAGTTCACAGAGGAGGAGGATATGGTGGAGGACGTTTGGGGTGTGGAGGGACAGGGAGACTCAGCGAGGGGAGGCCCCTCCAGTGGCCATACTAAGGCACCAGGAGGAGCTGGTTCCAATGGCCCTATTAAAATGAGAGACTGGCTGGGTTCAGTGGCTCATACCTGTAATCCCAGCACTTTGTGAGGCCAAGGCAGGTGGATAACAAGGTCAGGAGATCGAGACCATCCTGGCTAACACGGCTAAAAATCACATTTCAAAATCACGCCATAATGAATTGACAAGTAATTTTACATACATTTCCTGTGCTTCCACTTTTGAGGGCTCAGGGGTTGGATTAGTGATGACTATCAGACCCATTGGTGTTTGTTGTTTTGCACTGAAAACCCAGTGTCTTGTAATTACAATCTTAACTCCGAGAGCAGAAGACCTCAGGATATCGTCTAGTTGATCACTTTGCTTTCAGCAAAACATTAGAACCTACTCATCCCTTACAGAGTGTCTGCTTTTTTTCTCTTTACATATAAAGGCTTTTGGTGACAGATGTCTAACAGTCATCGGCATCTAGACATTCCAGCGTGTAAAAGTTGTTAGGATTTAGAACAGCTTTCAGTGGACCTGCAACAAGTGCATCCAGCTCCTGGCTTTGTGCTGGAGCAGCTGGTCCACGTCGTCTCAGTTCTTGTCCCTCTGCACAGTGCGGTGTGACACTTACCAACAAGCCGTTTCTATTCTCGATGCTGTATTTAATTCCCAGCACGGTGGTTAAGTATTGAATTGCACATTTGATCAAACTTGGGTATGTTTCCCCCTCGGGACTAACTTGAAAAGACAAAGGTGTTGGGTCGGTTGTGAATGATTTCTGACAGTAAATATTGTCGCTGTAACGGGACCTCCTGCGTTGTGTTTCCATATTCAGCCCGTCCAGTGTCTTCCAACTCCACCTTCTCAGAAGTCACCCTGGCCGGTTTAGCCAGTAAAGAAAACTTCAGCAGCGTCAGCCTGCGGAGCGTGAACCTGACGGAACAGAACTCTAACAACAGCGCCGTGCCCTACAAGAGGCTGATGCTGCTGCAGATTAAAGGTATTTCAGAGCAGCTGGGCCCAGTGACTCAGGGCCCGTGGTTTCTGTCTGGTCACCCGAGGAGTCCTGACTCATTCACCGCCTGTGCCGGGAAGGGAACCCATGTTTTTTGAGAACCTACTGTGTGTTCCTTGCTATGCAACCTCCTCTCTTGAGCTTGCCCAGATTCCGTGAGGTAGGAAGTATTCTGCCCACCAGGGCTTCCAGAGGCAGGAACGCATCTGGGGTCCCAGCAGCTGCTGGGTAGCAGAGCTGGATTCGAACCCACGTCCCCGACTCCAGAATCCCGGCTTTTGTTCCTGATGCCTCGCACCCCACGAGGCAGCCACACATTCATGTAGTTACCAGAGGCGCCCTGCGTCATCAGAGGGGCTCTCTGCTCCCTACCCAGTTCCCCCCGAGTCAGTACAGAACCGGGGAGGAGGAGGAGGAGGACACAGCTTGGAGAAGGAATCAAGGGAAGGTTGAGCGGATGCAGCCCCTGCATTCCACTCCAGTGCCCTCCTGGCCATGGCTGGGGAGATTTCAAAGACGAACCCGGGGGGCGCTGGCCATGAGGCTGGAGACTCGGCTGCCCCCTGGTGGTCACTGTGTAGATGAATCCTCGAGAGGAGCATGGAGGAAATCTCTCCCTCCAGGAGGGTTTCCCACGTGTTTCTGCAGGACCGCTGTCCTATTGCATATTAAAAAAAAAAAAAAAAAAAAAAAAAAACTAGTGACAAGCTCAAATAAACGATCTCTGTCCTGAGTCGTAACCCAGAGACTACATGGGCAGTGTAATTGTGGAAAGCTCAAAGTCAACAAACACTTTGGAGAAGGTGTTGAAAGCCACAGAAGGCCGTGCCTCCCTCCTTCCAGTGGAGAGGCCCCTAGGGTTCACAGTGGAAACTCCCCAGGGGAAGATCCGACCCTTCCTGAGGGCGTGGCTTCCCTTGCTGAGGCCACAGATGTAACTGGGTGCAGGGGGTGGCCTGGGGAGCGAAAGGCCCAGGTGAAGAGGGAAGGAGGGAAAAGGAGCCCCTGTGTTCATTTCCCTGGAAGGGGGAGCCTCAGTTCACCCACACACATGACTGATAATGGTCCTGAGAAGCGGGTGACATTTGGGAAAGCAGGAACCAGGGAAGCAGTCGCAGGTGCTGTCATGATGCCCTTTCTAAATCCTCCTGCTGCCACCCTGGGCCATGGGAACTCTTATTAGCAGATGAGCTCTTTAGAGGCGAAAGCATCCGCAGCAGGGAGGCTTCCGATGTGGGGTGCATCCTGTCCCCATTCTGTCTGGGAAGACAGTGACCGTTTGCCTCGTGTTCAGGAAGAAGACACGTGCAAACCAGGCTGGTGGAGCCTCGGGCCTCAGCGCTCAACAGCGGGGACTGCTTCCTCCTGCTCTCTCCCCACTGCTGCTTCCTGTGGGTAGGAGAGTTTGCAAACGTCATAGAGAAGGCGAAGGTTGGTATCTGGAAACTAAAAATGCTGTAGGGAACGTCCCCTTTACACACGGGTAGAGTGTTCTTCCTGGTGTCAGTCACAAAGCTTCTCAAACGCCAGGTGTTGCGTTCAAGTGAAAGGGATAGGTGGCATTTCGTTTCCTGAATGTCTCTCAAACAAGCTTTCGTTACATGTTTAAGTGGGACGTTTTAGGACTATGACCTACACCCCCAGCGTTTAGGTCCTGGGTTCCTTCTTACTCCTGTGTAAGAAAAGGAACTGGCCCCACTTTGAAGTCCTTTATCTCAGGTAGCTCTGAAGTTCCTCCATAGACCTATTGAATGAGAATGTCTTGGGGTTAAAGCCCAAAGAATGAGTGCTTCTTAAAAGCGTCACATGTGACCTATTGAAGATGGAGAACTATGGCTTTAAAGAATTGGAGCTCCCTGGTCTTTCAGTTACATTTTCTTGAGGTCACTGAAAATACCCAGTAACCAGCGTCCACCCGCCCCTGTGGTCACAGGCTTTCCTTTCAGGCGCACACAGTTTCTCCTCTCTGGTTTTGACATGTGCCACTCTGTCCAGCCAAGGGCTTTTCTACCCAGGTCATGCATTCCTCTCTTTTTTTAGGCCTCAGAACTTGCAGCTTTAATTCAGACAAAGAGGGAACTTGGTTGTAGAGCTACTTATATCCAAACCATTGAAGAAGGAATTAATACACACACTCATGCAGCCAAAGACTTCTGGAAGCTTCTGGGTGGCCAAACCAGTTATCAGTGTAAGACTTTATTGTACTTCAGAGATTGACAAGACGTGAATCTCCTTTCTTCTCCCTTAACTCATTCAAAACCAGCTACTTTGCAATGGAAAATGTGATGCTCTCCTGTTGTTCTTATCCCTAAGCTGCTGGAGACCCAAAAGAAGATGAACTCTATGAAGCAGCCATAATAGAAACGAACTGCATTTACCGCCTCATGGATGACAAACTCGTGCCTGATGACGACTACTGGGGGAAAATTCCAAAGTGTTCCCTTCTGCAGCCCAAAGAGGTACAGTCCGTGGGCTCTGCCCGTCAGTGACAAAGCTCATCAAAAGCACTCGGTACAGGCTGCCCAGTAAATTAGACAGCAAGTTTCCAATGAGGTTGGCCAGTGTCAGTACCCATTGTGGATCATTTACAGCTTTTTAAAGGATGTTTGTGATTTCAACCCGTTACTGAAATCTTACATGCTAATATGGAATCCAGAATATTGTTCAGAGACAGCATGGATCATTGAAGACTTTTATGTCTTAAGCAAAATGTAAATATTACTTAGCCCTGTCTCTTGCACTTTGCATAAACATTATGATAAAATATTCTTCAGTCCTTAGTTTGAGGAATAATAGATGCATGTATGTATAATTTGTGGATTTGCCAATTAATGTGCTGCTTTTGTCCTGTCACGCCAGTAAATATTGGTTAATCACATACGTTTCCAGTCCCATTCAACGTGCTAAGTGTCGAGAAGGTGGAAGACACACAAGGCCCTTCCGTGTGACCGGGCGTAAGAGTGTTAGGAGGAATGTCATCTGGAGCGAGGGTGGCTGTGTGCTATGTATGGCATTTACATGGGAAAAAGGTCACAGAAAAAGAAATCTTCAGGAATAATTTTACATAGAAAGTGAAATTGAGCTGAGTTTAGAGTTAAGCAAAATTTGAATTGCTGGAAATGAAGGGAGAAGTCATTCTAAGAGAAAGAATAAAACGAACCATGAAAATAGAAATAGCACTACGTTCAGATATTCATTCAGCAAACACTTAGTAATCAACCCCTCCTGTGTGTATTGCTATGATCTGATCCCTGCCCTTAAGGATCTTGGAATTGTGTGCAGGAGAGAAGACACCATTGCACCCTGAGCGCCCGGTGTGCGAAGGAGCCTCTGTGTATATATTAAGTGAATGAGTGAGCACATGAGAGAGGGAGGAAAGGGTGGGGGGAAGAAGGAAAGAGCACAGGAAGATGCGCCGACACAACTCTTGTGCTTCACAAGAGGAGGGAACATTATCTCGGCCACTTAGGGCACTGGGAGGAGGGATCATGCCCCCGGGGCAGAGGCTGGCTTGGTGGGGCAGTGCCCGCTGAGATCTCATGGCCTTTTTGTGTCTGTACTGGTCGCCCCATTAGGATTTCTGTCTTCCTGCGTTTGACTCGCTGTCAACAGAGACCCTCATTCAACTATTGCACATTCTTGAAGTTAACAAGCTCTTTTGCGCCATTTCTCCCAGGTGCTGGTGTTTGATTTTGGTAGTGAAGTTTACGTGTGGCACGGGAAAGAAGTCACGTTAGCACAACGAAAAATAGCATTTCAGCTGGCAAAGCACTTATGGAATGGAACGTTTGACTATGAGAACTGTGACATCAACCCACTGGATCCTGGAGAATGCAATCCGCTCATCCCCAGGTACTCCCGCCGCCGCCCGGGATGGCAGATTCCATTCGATCCCTCTGTTCTCACCGCAGTCCTCTACTCGCGCTCTTTATAGGGTTCACTTTTCATAAACGATTATATGCAGTGGACCGTGAATATTCACAGACGGAAAACTTCTTTCACTTTTATCCAGCTACTGCAGAAATACGGATGCTGTCGTCTCCTGCAAGAGGTTTATGTGATAGTTGGTTTTTTGAAGTGAGCAGGAGATGCTGCAAGTTCCCACCTGCGGCACTCCAGGTGCTGCCGGGGCAGATGAACAGCAATTGTTTACACAGATCACATGCGGATCTGAAAGGCGTCCCCAGATCTGGAATTCAGCCACCCATGTGAAGGGGCAGAAGCAACATGCTTCTTCTAATTCACACCTTCCCAGCATCGCCTGGGAATTCCAGGATTTACCTGGCAGCAGATGGTGTGGGTGCCTTTACCCCTTTCGGGAAGGGAAGAGGGGAGGCGATGGCATTACATTAATGACTGCGGTTTTAGTCTTTCCTGCATGTACTGGACTCTTTAAAGTCATTTTGGCAATTCAATAGAATACGCAAAAACTCTAAAATTATGCTTATGAAACAAAGAATTCTTACAGGCAAAGGATTGTTGTTTTTTTTAACTATCAGACCAAAATAAGTAGTGCTTTTAAACTATGTGTGCCATTATAATAGATTAGAAATTAAAGAATTCCACTATGTTGGCAGGGATGGTCTTGAACTCCTAACCTCAGGTGATCCTCCCGCCCCGGCTTCCCAGAGTTCTGGGATTACGGCCGTCAGCTCTACCTTTTTCTAAATTACCTGTGTTCTTGGGTACGGCACAGAATCTGAAATCCCAAACCCGCACAAGAGCTCCAGGTGGGGCTGTGCTGCTGTCTTTCCTGTCTTTCTCTGTTCCCCCCAGCTGCTGCCCTGGCCAGTGACCTAGAAATAAGTGTGCAAAAACGCACTTTGTGATCTATGAGTGTGTCCATTTTAGTGACAGGAGAATCTCTGTACTCTGGAGACCTTAGCTGAAACATGACATAAAATAGTAGAGAATTGGGGGCAGGGAGCTGCCTCTTCCCTACATCTGTTAATTAATTGAAGGGAAACTTGGTGAGTGTCTGCAGGTGACTGGGTGGCATAGATCAGATGATGAGTAAGATTTGCCTGCAGCTCCTGCCACTGCTGAAATCCCCACCCAGCATGCCACCCCAGAGTATCCTAAGGAGAAATATTTGCTAGAATGTGGCCAGAGACAGGGGCCCACGTCTGTAGTCCCAGCACTTTGGGAGGCTGCGGTGGGAGGGCTGCTTGAAGCCAGAAGTGTCAGACAGCCTGGGCAATGTAGTGAGACCTGGTCTCTACTAAAAAATTAGCCAGGCATGGTGGCACATAACTGCAGTTCCAGCATTTCCAGAGGCTGAGGCAGGAGGTTCACTCCAGCCCGGGAGTTTGAGGCTGCAGTGAGCTACGATTGTGCGACGGCACTTCAGCCTGGGCGACAGAGCAAGACCTTATCTCAGAAAAAAAAAAAAAAAAAAAAAAAAAGAACTTGCTAGAATGTAAGGAAAGTCTAGTCCTGACATGGTTAATGTCATATTCAGGCACATGTAAAACTCCATGGACACAAGGCTTTGCAAGACTTCAGACTAAAATAACAAAATTTGGTAAAATGCAGGAAAACAAACCATCTGTTCTATATACCACTTATGTGCTTTGAGGTTTTCTCCAGTAGCCGCTGTGTTTTAGATTCCTTGGTTTAACTTGGCTTAACCTTGGTTCTTTTCCTGTTTATTCTCCCAACCCCCCCACCCCCACCCTGCAGAAAAGGACAGGGGCGGCCCGAGTGGGCGATATTTGGGAGACTTACTGAACACAATGAGACGATTTTGTTCAAAGAGAAGTTTCTGGATTGGACAGAACTGAAGCGACCGCAGGAGAAGAACCCCGGGGAGCTTGCCCAGCACAAGGTATCCCGGCGACCAGGTCTCAACCTTGGGGCTTGGTTCGGGTCCCAGCAAAAGTGGCCTTGATGTAAAATGACCAAATCAGGTAGTTTGCAAGACCGTCACCTCAGATTTATCATTTCTTTGTGGTGAGAACATTCCAATCCTCTCTTCTAGCTGTGCTGAAATGTGCAATGCAGTGTTGGGGACAGTTGCCTATCGTGCCATAGAGAAGCAGCTCGTTCCTCGCTCTGATTGTCACTTTGTGCTGTTGGCCAACATCCCCCAACCCTCCCTCTGCTGCCTCCTTCCCTCACCCCCTCCCCATAAAACAGATGCCTGTATCAGCACATCAAATTGTACACATAAAAATGTGTCAACTAAAATACTTTTTTAATTAAAATAAACACAAACACACACACCCCCTTAAACCTAGGAAGCCTTCCCCGGACTCACGAGTAGAACAGCAGACTGGCCTCCAGTTCTAACCCGACTCCGGGAGGTGAGGAGTCTGGTTTGCGCCTGTTCTCGGGCATCCATGTGCTGTTGTGGCCATGGGTGTTCAGACCTCCCAGAGTCTTCCTGGAACTGTAGCCTTTCCCTCACTGCAGTTAAGCATCCTGGGACAGAGTGTGGAAGCTGTATTTTTATGCTGTCCCATGAACAGTTGAAGCAGTGTTGAGTGTGACAAGGTATGGCTGTGGAAACAGACAACCTCCATGTTCCCCTGTAGGAAGACCCCAGGGCCGATGTCAAGCCGTATGACGTGACGCGGATGGTGTCCATGCCCCAGACGACAGCGGGCACCATCCTGGACGGGGTGAATGTCGGCCGCAGCTATGGCCTGGTGGAAGGGCACGACAGGAGGCAGTTTGAGATCACCAGTGTCTCTGTGGATGTCTGGCACATCCTGGAATTCGACTACAGCAGGCTCCCCAAACAGCATCGGGCAGTTCCACGAAGGGGACGCCTATGTGGTCAAGTGGAAGTTCATGGTGAGCACGGCAGGTTAGTGAGCGCTCGTGGTTTCTTCCAGCTGAAAGAGGCTGGCCGGCAACTCTGTGGGAGCCAGCTTCCCCAGCACGCCCTGCTGTGCCTCTGCTGTGTGCGCACGTGCAGTGGGGCACTCCAGTCATCCGTCCTTGAGAGCCACTTAGTAAACCACAGAGGGAAAAAGAAGTCAGGCCAAATCCCTAACAGCCTAGCCTTGCCGAGGCCGCTGGTGTTCACCTGTAGAAATTGACTTGCACGTCAAGGCTTCCTGGCTCCTCTCCCTCCCTGTCCCTGTCCCCCTGTCCCCAGAGCTGTTCTGGGAAAGCAATGATTGGCCGGCCTCTGAATGATATTTCTCATGTGCCTGTGTGCTGCTTCAATTAAAGTCATTAAGTAGAGTATATCTTTGTGATTTAAAACTGGAACCAAATGGTGCTGTTCATTGTAGTAAATACACGCACACAAGGTTGATTTCAAAAGAGGCTGTTTCTCCCAAGGCTGAGTGCACGGGTGGCCTTGGTGGGTCTGGTTTATACATGCAGAGTCTAAACTCTCCTGGGTTCCTGTTGGTGATGTGCCCGATTCCAAAACACTCACCTGGATGCTTGAAGCTGGAGACGGGGGAGTCAGGTGAACTCTGGAGAAACCATCCATGTCCTTGCCAAGGAGGAGCCTTCCCGCAGCGCTCCTCACCCCTCCCACTTAGGACAGCATGCAGGTCACAGCTCTGTGACGTCAACTCAGAAGAGTCTTTCGGCCTCTTTACAGCCCCCGTGCTGTGCACGTGCACGTGCACCTGCCCCGGGGCCACGGGAGGCGCAGGCTGATCAGACACCTGCAGGTGCAGAACCACATGATTTCTTTCCTGATTGATATAAGACGTGTCTATGTATCAGCTGGCATTTCCTGAGCACCTACTCTATGGGAGACACTTTTTGTAGGGACCAAGTAAATATTTCAGGTCCTGTCTCCAAGACGCACGTGGTATCAATGACGTAGGGCAAGTGCAGGAACAGCCAGCAGGAGACCTTGCTGAGCACCAGGCGGTGGGGCTGTGTGCTGGGGCTGTGTGCTGTGCAGAGCCCGGTTGTGGCCCAGAGGTTCCCCCCGCCTCCTGGGGCACGATGCTGGGTCTTTACCTGCCTCTAGCTGAGGGCCTCCGGGGCTCCCTGAGACTTGTTCTGTTGTGATGCTAATTTCTCAGATGAGGACCAGGACAGTAAGATCAAGGAACCTGCCTGAAGCCACACAGCTAGCAGAGAGCTGAGCTGGACACTCACATCCAGGCGCCCTCTTTCCAAACCCGACCGTGCTGTTAACCCACTTTCTGGGCAGGGAGTCAGAGGGGGGCTCCAGCACAGGATGTGGGGAGCCGTGAGTTTGGCTACAAAGAGGGGCCGAGGAGCTCAGTCACCAGATCAGGGAGCAGGTCAGGGTTGAACCAGCAGCAAGGCGACTTGAGGCTGGCTGCCGAGCACACCAAATTGCAGGGGCTCGTTAAACAGCAGGATTGGGATCTTCCAGCGCCCAGGCAGCTCCTGTGTCTCCTTCCAGGGAGTAGTGGGGTGGCGGACAAAGACCCCCAGTAGGAGGGACTCCTCTTCCCTCTCCTCTCCTCCCTCCCCTCCCTTCCCCTTCCTTGACAGGGTCTCCCTCTGTCACCAGGTATTTCCTTTCTTTCTTCCTTTCTTCCCTCCCTCCTCCCCGCCCCCCCCTTCTTTCCAGCAGACTCAGCTTTAGAGAATTAGGATAGAGCAGGGAACATTCAGATTCCAGACCGTCCCTCCAGCCCTGGGAAGCACAGCCCGACGGCACCTGCGGTCACTCCGTAGCCAATGCGGAAGCTCTGGCCCCTTGGTGACACTAGTCTGGCTCCTCCATCACTTGCACCCACAAGGGCCACACCTGCAAACAAGACTGAGTCAGAGCTCAGGGAGCACTTCTGGGGAGAAGGTCAGCAAAAAGCAGCAGCTGTGCAGATGGTACAGCCTCCGCGTGGCAGATGCCAGCCAGCCTGCTACCGTCAGTGTCCTGGCCCAGTGTCTGCAGGGGAGGGCTGCTCGCACCCAGCAGGGTCAGGACACAGATGCTCCTGGTGCCAGGGATGCTGAGCCAGGCTTCCCTAGGGCGTGACAGAGGCTTAATTCCTATAAATCAGAGGTGGCTCTGGTGCGAGAATACTTAACCATGAGCAGTCTTTATACCTCTGTTTTCTGTTATTCCTAACTAGCACTCCCGGCACCAAACTCACTCTTGAAAGCGCTTTGATGGGATAACATGTCCACACTTTATTTATTTATTTATTTTGAGAGAGCGTCTCGCTCTGTCGCCCGGGCTGGGGTGCAGTGGTGCGATCTCGGCTCACTGCAACCTTCGTCTCCTGGGTTCAAGCAATTCTTTCTACCTCAGCCTCCCAAGTAGCAGTGATTACAGGCGCCTGCCTCCATATCCAGCTAATTTTTGTATTACAGTTTAGGCAACTGATCAAGGCAGTGAAAAGAATAGCCCATAAGTCCTTACCACTAAAAATTTAATCTTTACATTGTTAAAATTAAAAATGAATACAGATATGAAAAATTAATTTGTATATAGGACTACGTTTAGATACATGCAGGAAAACTGTAATGAAAAGTAGTGAAATGCCTGTTTTGTAAAATATCTTTAAAGAAATAAAATTCTAGGCATATACCTGTAATCCCTGAGTTTTGGGAAGCCGAGGTGGGAGGATCACTTAAGGCCAGGTGTTTAAGACGACTCTGAACAACATAATAAAACCCCATCTGTACAAAAAATTTAAAAATCAGCCCGATATAGTGGCATCTACCTGTAGTCCCAGCACTTTAGGAGGCTGAGGCAGGAGAATCACTTGAGCCCAGGAGTTCAGGGCTGTAGTGAGCTATGGTCACACCACTGCACCCCCCTGCTCTACGTGAGCAGCAGAGCAACACCTTGTCACTAAAATAAAAATACTTTCACGCCGGGCATGGTGGCTCACACCTGTAATCCCAGCACTTGGGAAGCCGAGGAGGGGCGGATCGTGAGGTAAGAGATCCAAACCATCCTGACCAACATGGTGAAACCCTGTCTCTACTAAAAAAAAAAAAAAAAAAATTAGCCGGGCATGGTGGTGCGTGCTTGTAGTCCCAGCTACTCGGGAGGCTGAGGTGAAAGAATCACTTGAACCGGGAGGCGGAGGCTGCAGTAAGCTGAGAAGTGAGCTGAGATTGCGCCACTGTGCTCCAGCCTGGTGCCAGAGCAAGACATCATCTCAAAAAAAAAAAAAAAAAAAAAAAAAATGCTTTTGGCCGGGTGTGGTGGCTCAAGCCTGTAATCCCAGCACTTTGGGAGGCCGAGGCGGGTGGATCACGAGGTCAAGAGATCGAGACCATCCTGGTCAACATGGTGAAACCCCGTCTCTACCAAAAATACAAAAATTAGCTGGGCATGGTGGCGCGTGCCTGTAATCCCAGCTACTTGGGAGGCTGAGGCAGGAGAATTGCCTGAACCCAAGAGGGGGAGGTTGCGGTGAGCCGAGATCGCGCCATTGCATTCCAGCCTGAGCAATAAGAGCAAAACTCCCTCTCAAAAAAAAAAAAAAAAAAGAAAGAAAATTTTAAAAAGAAATACAATTGTATTTTGGGTATATGTGCTCAAGTCTATGTAGACTGTTAGGACATGATGTTTTATTCAACTGTGAATGTATTATATTTACACAATGTACTTGGGCGCTAAGAACTGTCTAGGTCTTCATAGACTGTTACGATCTATTGGAAACAGGCCTTTCCCCAGGTGCAACATATTTTCACTACTTTGAGGAATAGGATTGCTAATGAAAGGAATAGGATTGCTAAACATTTTTTTTTTTTTTTGCTACGTTCGCAGAAATTTCAGTTGAGTGGCTTCCAAATTAACTATAGGTATTTATAATGTAGTCATTGATGGTTCCTATTTTATTTTGCCCTCTTTTTTTTTTTTTTTTTTTTTTTGAGACGGAGTTTCGCTCTTGTTACCCAGGCTGGAGTGCAATGGCGCGATCTCGGCTCACCGCAACCTCCGCCTCCTGGGTTCAGGCAATTCTCCTGCCTCAGCCTCCTGAGTAGCTGGGATTACAGGCACGCGCCACCATGCCTAGCTAATGTTTTGTATTTTTAGTAGAGATGGGGTTTCACCATGTTGACCGGGATGGTCTCGATCTCTTGACCTCGTGATCCACCTGTCTCAGCCTCCCAAAGTGCTGGGATTACAGGCTCGAGCCACCACGCCCGGCTCTTATTTTGCCCTCTCAAAAACACACAAACGTTACCAGTTCAGATCCACAGTGGATGGTAGGAAAGGCTGTTTTTAGTGAAACTAATTTAAGAAATTATTAGAATAATTTATAAAACCCGTGTTACAGATACTTTACCAAATGAGTGGCCAAAAAAGTCAAGTAAATACGACCCCCGAACTTTTAGGAGCTAAAATGAGTTTTCTTTTTCCCTTCACACGTTAATACAGTTGTCATGTTGGAAATGGAATTGGAGCTGGGAAAAACTGCGGTGATATAGAACCAGAGACTCCAGGTTTTGTTTGCTTGTTTGTTTTGTTGCAGAGTCTTGCTCTGTCATCCAGGCTGGAGTGCAGTGGTGCAATCTCTGCTCACTGCAAACTCTGCCTCCTGGGTTCCAGTGGTTCTCATGCCTCAGCCTCCGGAGGAGCTGGGACTACAAGCACGTGCCACCACGCCTGGCTAATGTTTGTATTTTTAGTAGAGATGGGGTTTCACCAGGTTGGCCAGGCTGGTCTTAAACTTTTGGCCTTAAGTGATCAGCCTGCCTCGGCCTTCTGAAGTGCTGGATTTACAGGCATCAGCCACCAAGCCTGGCCAGTTCTTTCACTATGAGAATTTAACAGGTCTTCTGTACTTTGAAGCTCAGTTAAATTCTGTTTCCACAATGCTTTGAATTATTTCATATTTTACATTCGTTCTTCATCTAGAATTTAATGCATATGGTATCTTCAGCTTTGTTCTCTTTTCTTTCAAAGCTCCTGGAAGTTTTAACTTCGCACCTCGCCT